CTACCTAAGCTATTTAGTAGGAATATTTTGCACGAATTCAAACGTTTTTGCAAGGCACTAAGTTAAAACGATGAAGGCGAGATTGATATCAACAGTCTTTGGAAGTGTTTTTCAGTCCAAAATACCTCAGTATGACAGCAGCTGAAACAATGGTTGACCTAAACAAAAATTGAATTTATTATGTCAGACAATTGGATGCTAGAGTATTAGAAAATAATTCTCTCGTCTCCTGACAATGTTCCATTTCTTTCCTTGTTTTTTTTTTAAGTTTAAGTTTTACGACTTGATTCTCTCAGGTTTTGTGAGAACAGTTATTCCTTGACTAAAGTTTGGTAGATTCTTTCTGATGACTGGAAAACATTATCTTAAGTTATGTTAACCTGTAACTATCTCGTCTTATATTCCTGACTTCTTTATGAACTCTTTTCCTCTGCGGAGTCTGTGTTCTGGATTTCGATCCACCGTATTCAGTAAGCTTTGTTGAAGACACTAAGAGAGAAAGAAAATGTACGGGTTAAATATGGAAACCTTCAAAGAATTTTCCAAGTCTATGTTCAGTACGGCATGTGGTTTTAGTTCAATGCTCGCCCATGAAATTGATTTGGTACATCAAGACAATCTTTCATGTATGACAGTGAATTTCCTTCTTCTCTCAACTTTTGTCCTTGTAAATATGTTGCTAATGCAAGGAGAAAATAGATGTTGATCAATTCAAACGTTCATCAAATTAGCGCACATAAATTACGAGGTAAATTAGCCTGGATTATTTTTTTGATGCCTAATAATACTAACCTGCCCTGTCAAAAGATACAGTTTGTCTAGACAAATGAAAATCATTTTCGTTATGATTTTCGTAAAAGCCAAGTAATACGAGAAACACTTTTTTTGCGATTTCAGCGAGCACTTGACGGGAACAATATAATGTGATCGTTTGATTTTCACATTTCAACACGTGTATTTGAATGTATAATTTTTAGAGAAACAAGGGAGCAATTCTCAAGAGAACATCACATGATCCAAAATAGAAAAAATACATATGATTTACTGGATGGTTAATGACAAATAATGAGCCAAATAAAGTTCAAAACATCTACAGAACCAGTAAGTCAGATATAAACCGCAGGTTTATGAGCGTAAACTCAGCTCGAATCAAGTCAAGATCACTTATTCCCCTTGGCTTTGAAAATTTGAAAACTTCATAAAAGTTAATTATACTTTATTGTTAGCATCATCGAGACCAACACTCATTTCTAAAAAAAAGCTTTGAAAAAGTTAGTCGATTACGAAATTTTTGCAAGTGAGAGTAAATACGTTGAAAACAAATAACGGAAAGAAAATCAATCTTTTTTCGTATAAGTCGAGCGTCGACAAGGTGTAAAATCACAGATGAAGATATGTGTAAAGGTACTTTAGTTTCAAAACTCAATAATTTTTTAAGAATTTTCTTATTTTGCCAAAAATTAAACATCTCATTTCATTACAAAAACAAACACTCACGAAGTCAGTGGATTTGACGTGGTTATTTTTGTTTACATTCCAATCATACCATTGAAATTGTAAAGGTTTGGTCACGTGATAAATTTTTTGCATCACCAATTGTCAAGTTCACACGGATAAGAGAATCGGTAAAAGAGCTATATAAAAGAGGTTGAAATTTAACTTTTGTTTGACCGTTACAAAGAGTGGGGTACAAAAAAAGGATCTTCTTAAATGGTAGTTTAAACGTAGAGAAAAAAAAAAAACAAGAGAACCAGTTAAATTAACGTCGCTTTGTTAGCCCTCTTTTTACCAATTTGAAAAATAAAAATAAAATAAAATGATATTTTTCACTGTTCACAAACTGCAGGCGTTTACGTTAGAGAGTTACTCCTTTCTTGGAGAAAATGGTGATTCCCTGAATTTTGTTTGTTCAAAAAAAAGAAAAAATCCTCAGAGAACTCGATAGAAATAAAGGGTATCGATCACCTGGCACTTAAATTAAGTCGCTGTTTTGTCCAGTTTTTCACAGAAAATTAATTCCTGCTTTGATAATGTAGATGCACACTGCTGAACTTTGCTATTACAGTTATAGCGATTCACACAAAACTATCCTACTTTGTTGTAGATTCAGCGGAATTTTGGGCAAAAATTGAATCACACTCGTACAAAAACAGGCAATCATTACTCACGTTAAAACACTCAATTTTTTCGGAAGTTTAGGAACTCATTACTAAAATTATTTCAATATGATTTAAAATCAATCTGTAAAGAATAAAATTTTATGTTTTGGAGAGTCTCAATGTGTCGAATTAATTTTGTCACGCGCAGTACATGCGAACATATAAGCAGTTTTATTAGAAATGCAATAGTCCTAAAATGGCCCAATTACTGCATGAGAAAATATCTAATCACACCAGTAATTTCCTAAAAACACATGCAGATTGCGAAAAATCGAAAGTGATAACAAAGGGATGTTTAAACTGCAGAGATGAATATAGTGGCAAAAACCTAAAGAAACTGCATTCAAAGGAAACTTGGAAATTTAAGAGTGTACACAGTAGTTATAGAAATGTCAAATCACGGAACCAAACATTGACACAGTTAAATGTTTCTGGAGAGATTTTAAATTTGTCAGATTCTGGTCATCAAAATTTTTCCTCTTTTTTGATCAGTTTTAGAAACAAATTCCTTAAGGTTTGGTCATTTTTGTCCCAAACATACGTTTGAAATCAGTACGGGAATTTTCCGTTTCATGTCAAAGGAGATAAACACAGTTTGCTTTGATGTCTAAACGTTTTATTCCCAAAGAGATCGACAACTTGACTATTTCAGTACATTGCCATTGTAACACTAGCCTTAATATGTACACAATGCGAACCTATTTTCTTGATATTTATTTCATGAAGGGTTTTACTTGGTTTCTGAAGCCTACCTTTATGGAATTCTTTCAACACGCATTCTTCTTTCCATGCTCTTATAAAGATTCTTTAACGGTGCTTCACCTGAAATTGATTAATTTTAGGTGAAGTTCACCTGGATTTTGTAAAATTGATAAATTCTTTACCAAGGTCCAAAGATCTGGAATTCCCTTCCTGTTACAATCACTTCATTGTCAAGTTTTCCCAATTTTAAGAAAAAACTGCTAAAGTTTTTATTTAAATAATTACTGAACTGGCAAAGCCGCACACTGTTGCACTATCTATGTAACCGTATTGTTACGTACGAGGTGGCCTCAACTAAAAGCCTGATGGTTTCTAGAGGTCACCTCGCCTCACATTAAAATATTAATTTATAAATACTGTAAAAAGGCAAAATAAACAGAATGAATGAATGAATGAATGAATGAATAAAAATACTCGGGATTGATAAGCTATTCGTCGTTCTCATACTGAATAGTTAATATTTTGAATGTTTCATGTTGATGCCTCGCAGCAAAATGCTTGTAACTGAGATATACAACAAAAATGTAGAGCTGGAAAATTTTGAGCCTAACAATTTGTTTGTCAACTTTTCTCCGATCTCCCAGTGACGCTGGAGTGACAAAACACACTTCATAGCTTAAATTGTTTCCCTAGCTTTAGCACTCTTGCAGACGAAGTAGAGACCACATTGATGCAAGTATCATGTTCAGCGAGTTAAGAAACTCCTTTTGAAACTCCAATTTTCATCTGAAGGGTTGTTGGTTTTACATTTTTAGCTTTAAAATGTACTGCTTGTGATATTGTAACAGTAGTCACATTTACATACTATAGGACTATTTTTATTTCAGGATTCATCCGAAAACTTACCTTCGCGTACTAGATCTCTACGAGTGGNTGAACTGGCAAAGCCGCACACTGTTGCACTATCTATGTAACCGTATTGTTACGTACGAGGTGGCCTCAACTAAAAGCCTGATGGTTTCTAGAGGTCACCCCGCCTCACATTAAAATATTAATTTATAAATACTGTACATTAAGTAAAAAGGCAAAATAAACAGAATGAATGAATGAATGAATGAATGAATGAATGAATAAATGAATAAAAATACTCGGGATAAGTAGGTATTATTATTGACAAGCTATTCGTCGTTCTCATACTGAATAGTTAATATTTTGAATGTTTCATGTTGATGCCTCGTAGCAAAATGCTTGTAACTGAGGTATACAACAAAAATGTAGAGCTGGAAAACTTTGAGCTTAACAATTTGTTTGTCAACTTTTCTCCGATCTCCCAGTGACGCTGGAGTGACAAAACACACTTCATAGCTTAAATTGTTTCCCTAGCTTTAGCACTCTTGCAGACGAAGTAGAGACCACATTGATGCAAGTATCATGTTCAGCGAGTTAAGAAACTCCTTTTGAAACTCCAATTTTCATCTGAAGGGTTGTTGGTTTTACATTTTTAGCTTTAAAATGTACTGCTTGTGATATTGTAACAGTAGTCACATTTACATACTATAGGACTATTTTTATTTCAGGATTCATCCGAAAACTTACCTTCGCGTACTAGATCTCTACGAGTGGTATGTTCCCGCCGTGCCTTATCAAAGTGTTGTTTTAATGGTGTTTCAGCTTACAAAATTAAAAAGAGAATAGCAATGCTTGGATGAGTAAATGTCATCAGAACAAATTCTCTTAGGCTCTATGTTCTCTGCGCAAGAGAAACGCTATACAATATAAACAGAAACTTGAAACATAATTCAGCCTTCGATTCTGTTTTTGATAAGCCCTAAGGATTTGCTAATATCTCGTGGAAAAATGTTCGAATTGTGAACTGCTTAAAAGCGAGTCATTCAAGAACAGCACCACAGCACTTGTCATTCCAATAAACCTGATTGATTTTGTTTAGCGATGTTTTCAGCGCCAATGGTACAAAGTGCCAACCCAGAAGTAACCTTAGGCATCAAATATTTTACTGCATGCATTCACTATCTTATGAGCAATTTTCAAAAATACTAAGCCAACAATTCTTCTTCTAGTTTCTTTGAGTTCTGTTCTAATCTACTATACGATGGATATTTTTGGTTCACCTTAAAGGAACTTCGTTACTGGAAATAAATGTAAGAGTAATTTACTCAAGAAATGCCCCTTCGAAAAACCTCACATCCACTAAATATAATGCTTTCAGTGACATTATTTGAGTCAGTAGCTTTAACCAACGATTCGTTTTCATCGCTTTAACAATTGTGCGGCAACTTACTTTGAGTTTACTCACGCTATTTCCCACAACTTAACTGTCCGTACATTTTCGTTCATCCTTCGAAGCAGGATAAACCAGGTATTGAGTAGTTGGTCCATATGAAGTCTTCCCGTTGAAACATACTCCACAATTCCTTTCATGCTGACGGCTTTCACGGCGTCTTCCTTCACTTGTTAAGAAGATTCCTTCCGTCGAGGAAGAAAAGCCTTCTCGACCACGAGGAACGAAAGAATAAAATGCAAATAAGATGCACGACCCAGGGGAAAAGAATCACATCTTAAGATTTGCACGTGAGAGCTTCATCGCGAGGAACCTGAATTTTTGTTTCAGTTGAATAGGTCATTTGTTTCACAAAGAGTTCTATTGCATAACCATATGGAAATGAATTTTAGTTGTACGATGTCTTGCAAATGAATTTAGATTATTTCCATACCAAAAGTTAATTGCATATTTACCAGAACTCATTTTGAAACCGAGGTAAAACGGCAACACTGAAAAGACATTTCACGACAAGAATGTCCTATTTCCTCCGGTCTATCCTGAATAGATTAACACAACCCCTGTAAATAACAAGACGCTGTGATAGCGTTAATTAAGGCTTCGTTTAGGAAATCTAGTTTGGGACAAATAATCTGTTCATTTTCCTCTCGCGCGTTCTCGTTTGCCTCTGTTTGTCGGACAGAATATCTAATTTGAACCGGTTTCAGTGATAAATGAATAGGTTAAGAAGAATTTAAGTCTAGTGAACGAGGCATTGTAAAACATGCACACTAGTTGTCAAAATCAGAAAAATAAAAATAAAAAAAAA